TTGTGGGGCAGGGCCGCGGCCTCGACCCCCCCCAGCCACTGCAGCAAACCCACTCCCAGCCCTTTCTGCAGTCACATTGGGTGCAAAAGGTAGGATTTAATCTGCTGCTGCTCCTGGGCATTGTGCAGATGCTTCCTGTGTGACCTGGGGACACTTCAAGACCAACATCATGTTCAGTGGGCTTATAAAAGCATGGGAACCAGGTCTCGATGCAGGCTGAGCTCTCCTGGTGCTCCAGCTCTGACTGTTTGGAGGGGGAAGCACTTGGGCCAGGGAAGGGGGTTTTGTTTCCTCTTCTATTTGTTTTTAAAGTTTGCTATATAATTATATATATAATCAGCTATAGCTCATGTGTTTTTAAAGTCAGCTGTAATTTCAAAAAGCAAAGCAAGCCTCTGTTCAGAAAACATAACTTTATTATTAGTTGCAATATACATTGTATTCCTTTAAGAATCCTAAACTTGTATATGTTTTTTTTCCCATTGAAAATACATGTGTATGTATATATGTTTTTATATATGTATATATATATAAATGTAATTTATTGAACTGGAACACGATGGGACAAGAGAGACAAGCTCAGAAATCACTTGGCAAAGTAAATGCCACCTCCATGGGTCTGTGCTGGCAGTGTGCTAAGGTGAGTGGTATAAAAAGAACAGGCTAAATAGAAAGAGTGACTGGTTTGGGCAGTGGGGAAGGGTCCCAGTGCTACAGAGGTGATATGTACAGTAGTTACACGTTGCTATTGCTCAGTCGTGTGTGCCACCTCTTCTCAAAGGCAGGCGGGGCCCTGCACAGCATCATTCGTAAGGCCGGCTGTGCTCCCTGCAGATGGTCCCTGCCCTTGGAACAGTGAGCACAGTTCCCTCGGCAGCAGCTCTGCTCTGTGCTAATCTGGTCAGAGGAGGAAGAACCCCTCCGGGGCATGGGGAAACCAAAGAGGTCAATATAAAGTGGCTTATAGGCAGGGGAAGGGGTCAGCAACAGCAGTGAGAGCTACCTCTGGGTAGGTTTCCCTGTGCTAACGTCCTCAGAAGGTAACTCTTCAGCTGAGGACGGCAATAGCCGCTGCTGTGCCACGGCTTGGGGCTTATTTGGGCTTTTCTTTGCTTTTTCTTTCAGCTTTTTGCTTGTTAACCTGGTTTCCAAACAGCTTCCCCCGGCCACACGCCATGGCTGAGCTCAGCTGGACAGAGGGACAAGTCTTCCCCACATCAATCGAATCAGTTTCCTTCTATTTCTCTTGAATGTCTCTGAGCTGCGGATGTTTCCTGGGTGAAAGGACACGTTTTAGCAAAGGCACTGACCACCGGCTTCCCTCTGCCTGAAGCCAGGTTGGAGGGAGCAGACGAGCTCTGACCTTCCTGCTGGAGGGTCGCTTCCCTCCCCCCTACAAAGTGCTTGTCAGCTTGAAGGGATGTGGAGAATGTGGGCATTGATTTACTCCTCCTGACTTCCTCTGTAAAAGTGCTTTCAGGAATCCCATCCTCATCTTGCTGCTACCCCCGCAGCGTCTGTCACCGCTGGATCACGCCTACTTGGTTCCCTTTCCAGCTGAAGGAGCAGGTGAGGTTTATCACCACTACAGTGTTCCCCTTCCTGCCATCTTTCCCCAGCAGCATCTGGCAAGGAGGGATCTTGCCCAGGGAAAAGAAGGTGCAACACGCCAGGCTGCTGGAGGATGCAGAGCAGGGGACCTGCATCACCTCCTGCCCAGAGCAAGTGTCACCAGTGGCTAGTAGGGGTTGGTGAGAGCAGCTGATTGCACTGGAATCATATTTGAATCAAAAGCTGGTGTTTCTGGGGGAATTACAGCTCATTTCTCTCTTTAGAGACAAGAAAATACAAGTGGGAAAGCGCCTGGATCAACCTGTAAAAGAACTTTCCTGTCATGGTGCCCCTTAGGGCAATTCCAAGGACTTAACCTGCATCCACACATTCTTCATCCATCCACACTGCTGGGACCGAGCCCTGATTCTGACTGTTATTGCACAGAGGTCCCTTTCCTGACTCTACCCAGATCTGGTCTCAAAGGGATAAAAGGTGGGTGATGCCCTGTGACTGTTTCAGGTGGGATCCAGCCCCGGGGATGCAGCTTGGGAGATGCTGATGGATCCAGGCTGCCAGGGAAGGCAACAAGGGGCTGGTTTGTCACTGGGGAGATGCCCCACTCTCATAGTGCAACAGTCGCAGGCATTTTCTTTTTGCAGAATTGGAGGGAGAGGCCCAGGTTAAACCCCTTCCCTTTGGCTAGTGATGACAAGTGTATTCATAGTCAGGGCCATCACCCTGGACAAACTGACCCACATGGCCACGCTGTGATTGCTGCACAGCTTTTGCTGTATCAGTACGATGCCTCTGCTCCATAAAGAGTCCAAAGCCTTTCCTTTCACCCTGCTGTGACCACAGACCCAGGCAGCTCTAGGATTTGGCTTCTCTGCACTCCTGGACCAGTCCACAAGCTCCTCTATGGCAGCTCATACACCAGTGTCCCCAGATACCCCCAGTGCAGCAAGGCAGATGTTGGATGGATGGTCGCACCCTATGCTCTGCCTCCAGCTCCCCACCTTGCCTGAAGGGGTGAGCTCAGCCCCTCTGCTCAGTGATCTGCCCCAGAGGGGGTTGTGCTGCTCAGGAGGAGATGGTGATGAGCTTGGATGGGATCTCTGCTCCTGCTGTGGAGCTCCTGCTAAATCGGTGGACCATGAGGACACCCACTGCTAATCCCTACCCACCAGATGCTCTGCACTTCTCTCCAGCATTATTTTCAGGACATTTTCCAACTGATGAAGGAAAACAACAGATTATGACTGTAAAGTTATGGTGAAAGAATTGCATCCTGGTAGGACAACATTATTCCTTGCCAAGAGAAAGAACAATTAACTCCTTCTTTAGACTCTCCTCTCATTCCTTCCCAGCTCTATATACATCATATATTATATTACTCTATTCTCTTATAACTTTGACTTTGCTCTTTCAGGTTCAGTAGCGCAAGTGATTAATTCCAAAAGAAAAGAAGAAGGGGAAAAAATAAGGGAGAAAAAGCAGCCCCACGAAATATTTACAGAATAGTTCATTGTGCAGAGGAGACGAGGTTTGGCATGGGGAACAGCCTGGGTTCTCAGTGTGCCAAGTGGGGTTGATCCCACATTCCTCCTCTCCGCCCTGGGATCCTGCTCTTATAATTAAAACTAAAGAGCTTTCAACACCTTTCCCCAGTGCAAACTCGCAGAGGGACGTGCAGGGCAGTGGGGAGGCTGCCTTTGGGCTCCCCCTGGCCTGGGCTCCTGGTAAAGGCAGCATCCAAAGGGATCTAACCTTGGAAAGCAGCCTTTCACCCTTGGGGAGCCATTGGCTCCACCTCAGCCTCTCCTCGTGACCCAGCACCTTGGGTGCTGCTCTCCTCTCAAGGACCATGGCTTTTAAGGTACTGGATGGTGGGGATGGGGAAGGGACTGTATGCACCTGTAATCAAACCATGAAGTGGAAGATAGTGACTTCTTTAACATACCAAAAGTTATTGCAGTATAAATACACCCCTGTCACCCAGCGAAAGCAGAGAAGGGGAAGTGGTGGGGGAAGGTTGGTGAGTGAGGAGCATGTCAGTGAAGACACCCAACCTGGGAAGCTCCGAGGGCTGCTCCCACAGCATCCGCTCCCCTCCAGATTAGGGCCACAGCCATTTACATCAGCAAATGATGCTCCACCCTGTGCCTCTCCCCCCACCCTCCCTTAGCTGTGCGTGATAAAACATCCCAGAGTCCCTCCAATGTAGGTCTTCTGCAGAGAGACTTCTATTAAGGAAAGCATCTACTCCCAGAAAACCCCAGTGAGAGCTGCAAACCCAACTGCTCTTAAGCCTGGCTGGCTTCCCCAGCGGCCGACACCTTCTGGCCGATCCATGTCAGTATTTCTGTGAAGACAGAGGTAGAGACCTCGGGCAGCTCTTTGTGGAGGGCATGGTAGGCTTCCTCATAGACCTGCAAGCAGGGAGAGAGTGGAGGTTAGCACAGGCATGAACAAACCAGCCTCGGGTCCTCTCTCATCAGCACCCACAGGTCCAGCACTTCCTGCCCACATCTCGTCAGGGTTTTCTCCCAGTTGGGGCAGGTTATGGAATCAAGAGATGCTGCTGGTGGTGCTGGCCCTCCACAAGCACGAAAGCATTAGCATTGCAGCTCAACATCTGTGCGTTACCCAGCACCCTGCTGCCCATTAGCTGCCTGTCCCAGCCCCATCTATTTCTTGCTTCTTATCCCACTAAGGAGGAGGGAATACTTATCATGCCCTTGGATTTAAAGGACAATGGGGGATGTTCCCATCATGCCTTGTGTGATTTTACTCTTTTCATGTCCAGACTGTCCAGTTATTTTCCCAATGACAAAAGCTTTCCCCTCATCTCCCTGTCTCTCTTTCAGGCTCATTCATGTGCTAACAATTGGCTAATCAGCTGTGGCTCTCTTGAGCAGATGTGAAGTGCCTTTTGTTGTGCTGGCTTTGGGAGGGCCCCTGTACCTTTCCGCGCTGGAGCACAAGGTAAGGTTGGTGCTCACGCAGTTAGCATTGTTCAGAAGAGCTTTTGAGGTCAGCACTTTACCTGCCTATGAGCTTGGCTCTATTTGTACACCAAGATGCCTCATGTCCAAGGCACAGAGCCACTGCTGGGTCAGGTCTTGGGATCACAAAGCCCACAGCCTGGCTGTGGCTGCTGGAAGGTGCCCAGGGAGGGCTGCATTTGGGCTCACCAGTGCATCAGCCCTGCTTTGCCTCCATGCTCCCTGCCCCTCAGTGTCATGAGGCTCAGGCCAACACTGACATGACAGTACCCTAAACCCCAAGAAATCCAGTTGACCTTGAGCGTTTTGTCCTGACTTTGCACTGTTTCCATCAGGAAATAGGACCCTTTGATGTCGCAGAGCTTGAAGCCGTGTAGCACCAGGATGGGCAACGTCAGCTTGGGCAGAGCTCGCTCAATTCTGGCAATGGCATTCATCAGCTGGATGACGAAGGACACCTTCATGCCACCGTGGTAGACCAAGGGATCAGATGTGTAGGACTCTATCTGGCAGGGAGAAAAAGGTAAGTTGAGGCTAGCAATACTTCATGCAGAGAAGGCAAAGCCTGGTGGTGAGGAGGCTCTTCCCTGCACTTGGACAGGCATTTCCTGCTCTGTCAGGACATCCTGCCACCAGAGGAAAGGTTGAGGTCTTACTGAGGCTACCCAGAACTGCTCACACAACCTTGCTTCCTCCTTGCTATGTGTTTCTCTCTTCCATCAGTGGAAAATATTCAAGCCAAAACCCTTTCTGCAGGCAAACAACCAATGTCAGACATAAACTGTTCCCATGGGGGCACCTGCTATGTCCTTCTGTCACTCAAACATGACATCTCTTCTGCAGAGCGCTCTTCAGACTCTGTTACTTGATAAGCTGATGTTCTCCAGGTCCTCATCCTCTCTGCTGAGGGCTCGGATGTTCTTTTACCTGCCCTCTCTGGGGCCCAAGACTGGGACTACACCTACAGACAACTGACACATCTGACTGCACAGGACTCTTGTGCCGAGGGGTCCGCTCCGGGTACCAAGGTAGGAGATGATGGAATTAGGTGGTGGGCACTAAAAGCAGCCCCCAGGCGGCTCACCCGTC